CATGTGTGTCTATGTTTGGCTTGGGCTACTATGGTTACCTTGTCCCAGTTAAACTGATGGCCTTCATTGTCTGTGTGTCCCAATATTAAGGAGAGTTTGTTGTGATATTTTGCTGCTAGCTGATGTTCGTGTATACTGATGGCTAATTTCCTTCCTGTCTGAACGATGTAATGTTTGTGGCAGTTGTTGCATCGTAAATTGTAAACTACGTCGGTTCTGCATGTTGTGGGAATGGGGTCTTTAATCCTTGTGAATGTTTGTTGTAGCGTTACTGTGGGCTTGTAGACCACCATGATTCCTAGTGGTCTTGGGAGTCTTATTGTAAGTTCTGATATGTTCTTGATGTAGGGCAGTGTGGCCAGTGTGTTAGGTTGTACTGTGTCCTCCTCTTGTTGTCTATTTAGTAGGCATCTGTGGATGAAGTTGCGGGGATATCTGTTCATAGCGAGGATTTTGTACAGGTGATCTTCCTCTTTCCTGCGTAGTTTCAGAGTGTTGCAGCATGTCGTGGCCCATTTAATCTTAGTAGGATAATAGGTTGGCACAACATCGTGGGCCGAAGGGCCTGTACTGTGCTGTGCTGTTCTATGTTCTACGTTCTACGTTCTTTAAATAGTGTCTTAATGCAGCTTTGTTTGTGGACGTTGGGGTGGTTGCTGTGGAAGTTGAGGATTTGATCAGTATGTGTTGCTTTCCTGTTTACTGAGGTTGGGAACTCCCCGTTGGTCATACGCTCAACTTTTACATCCAGAAACGGAAGTTAAATGTTGTTTTCTTCTTCCATTGTGAATTTAATCCCCGCGAATACGCTGTTCATGAGGTGGTGGGTCTTTTCTAATTGTTGCATTTAATGACAAATGTGTCGTCTACGTAGCGGATCCACAATTTAGGTTGATTGCTGGGGAGGGTGGTGTGTTCCTGAGATGGGTGACCTCATTTGTGTACCATTGATCTGTCCAATCTAGCTTCGTAGCTAAAATGCTTCAGCCCAGGCAACATCCTGGCAAATACCCTCTGCACCTTCTCCAGTGCCATTACACTCCCTCCTAAAATGTGAATTCTAGCTGTGGCCTAACCAATATTTTATAAAATTACAGCATAATCTCTCTGCTCTTTAACTTTATGCCTTGGCTAATAAAGGCTGGATTCTTATATGTGTCTCAACCACTTTATCCACCTATCCTGATACCTTAAGGGACCTTAAGTGCACACTCAGGTCCCTCTGATACTTGGTGAGGTGATGCGTTTTGGAAGGTCAAGTACAGGTGGAAATTATACAGTGAGTGGCAGATATGCAGAGGGATCTGGGTGTGAAAGTCCACAGATCACTGAAGGTGGCAGCACAGGTAGATAAGGTTGTGAAAAAGGCCTATGGCGTGCTTGCCTTCATTGGAAGGGGCATTGAGTATAGGGATAGACATGTTATGCTGCAGCTTTATAGAACATCAGTTAGGCCACACTTGGAATATTGCATACAGTTCTGCTCACCACACTACCAGAAGGATGTGGATGCTTTGGAGAGGATATGGAAAAGGTTTACCAGGATGTTGCCTGGTTTGGGGGAGTTTAGCTATGAAGGAAGTTGGATAGACTGGGTTTGTTTTTACTGGAACACAGGATGTTGAGGGGCAACCCGATAGAAGTTTATAAGACTGTGAATGGCACGGATAGAGTGGAAAGTATGAGGCTTTTTCCGAGGGGGGGGGGGGGTCAATTACTAGGGGACACAGGTTCAAGATGTGGGGAGGGGGGAAAGTTTAAAAGAGATGTGCGAGGCAGTTTTTCCACACAAAGGGTGGTGAATGCCTGGAAAGCGCTGCCAGAGGAGGTGGTGGAAGCAGACATAATAGCAGCATTCAAGAAGTACCTGAATGAATACATGAATAGGAAGGGAATAGGGGAATACGGATCCTGTAAGTGAAGACAGTTTTAGTATGGAAGGGCAAAATGTGTCAGCACAGGCTTGGAGGGCCAAAGGGCCTGTTCCTGTGCTGTATTGTTCTTTATTCTTTCTTCTTTGCTTCTCAGAGTCATATCATTCAGTATGTATTCCCTTACTTTTTGTGTCTCTCCCAATTGCATCATTTGACAATTATCTGGATTGAATTCCATACACAAATGTTTCCACATGATTGTAATATCCAATCATATTATTACGTGTTCACTGTAAGTACATCTTCTAACTGAAGGTATGTATTTGTAATCACCAGAAAAAAACCCATACTATCCATTTCTCCCCCTTTTCATACACACGTACCTGAACTCACACATCCAGACAATGTCGAATTTTGGCCTGAAATCGTGGGAAGTCAGGAGAAGCTTCACATTTCAGTTGAATCTTGAGTGGATTTTGCTCACGCTCAGGTAGAATGTGCTGGCGAACCCTTCAAGGTTTCAGTTGGAGACATAGTTATAAAGCACCGTTAGCCCTTGCAGGATCTGATTGAGTCAGTCCAGGAAGTCCCTAAGGCATTGTGTAGTAACTAATTGAATCAGTGCAAGAATTGTTCGAGGCTCTGCACAAAACAGACTGTGGGGGGTGTGGAATCTGTTAATTCACAGGCTGTGCTGAGGGGTGGACTCTCTCTGTGCAGAATTTACATGGTTCTGTAGCCTACTTCAGATTGGCTCCACAACAGAAACTGAATTGTTCACTGGACAGCTATGTTGGGCGCATAGAATTCCTACAGTGTGGACAAAGGCCATTCGGCCTATACCTACCCTCCAAAGAGCATCCTATCCAAACCCACCCTACTTTTCCCATGGCTAATCCATCCAGACACTTTAGCGCAGCCAACCCACCTAACCTTATACTTCTTTGGACTGTAGGAAACCCACACAGACACAGGGAGAGGGTAAAAACTCCACACAGACAGTTGCCTGAGGGTGGAATTGAACCTAGGTCCCTGGTGCTGTGAGGCAGCAGTGCTAACCACTGAACCACAATGCCATCCACATCCAGTACCTCCTTGTTTGATGCTGCATCCTTAACACTATTGAAGAAAAGATATTATTTCCTCGGAGGTAGTTCAGAGAAGTTTCACTCGGATGATCCCCGGTATGGAGGGGCTGTCTTATCAGTAAAAGGTTAAATAATTTGGGACTCTACTCACTGGAGTTTAGAAGAATGAGAGGTGGTCTCATTGAAACATAAAGGGGCTCAGCAGGGTAAATGCTGAGAGGATGTTTTCCCTCATTGGAGAGTCTAGGATCAGGGGGCACAGTCTCAGAATAAAGGGGAACCAATTTAAGACTGAGATGAGGAGGAATTTCTTCTCTTGGAGGGCTGTGAGTCTTTGGAACTACTTTCCACAGAGAACTGTGAGGTCAGAGCCCTTGTGTGTATTTCAGGCGGAGAATAGATACATTCTTGATCAGTTGGGGAATCGAGGGGAATTGGCAGGAAAGTGGATGCGCTGAGTGAGGGAATCAGCCATAATTTGATTTGATTTGATTTACTATGCCTTGATACAGTGAAAAGTTTTGTTTCGCGAGCTGTACATGTGGATCACACCATACAAAGTTGCGTTAGGGTAATAAAACAGAGCGAGGAATACAATGTTACGCCTGCAGAGAAGATGCACGAAGTGCAAAGTCAACATTAAACTTCAAATTTTGACAGGTCCATCCAACAGCAGGGAAGAGGCTCCTCTTGAGCCTGTTCAAGATCCATGATCCTACTGAATGCCAGAATAGGGTCCGTTTGGCCTACTCCTGTTCCTATTTCTCATGGTCTTTACGGTGGGAGGTGAATGCTTGTCCCACTGATCCCCCTTCTCACCCCCCACCAACTATCATCCCAAAGCGTTGTGCCTTATTTTGTTGCTGTCAGTGAAAATCTCTTCCCTGGGCTAATTTAAACTGCCTGGCTGAACATCTCTGATCCACGCATTGCTCCCAGATACAGAATAACAGTATTAAAACCTACAGGATTTCTACCTCTCCTTACCCCCTTGAAGCTATAAGAATGCAGAGCAGCTCGTGTCTGGTGAGTACATTCCAGTTCGCAGTTATGGTAAAAGTGAATATGTTGCTGTTGTGACACATCCTTCATCCATGTTAATACTGAAAACAGGCTTGCTTTTCCTATCAGTCCAGTCTTGTCTGGGCAGATTCCTATGCTTTTCGAATCCAGGCTCTCACTTCTAGTGTATACAAACTTTAAACTACCAGCCTCTGTCACTAACAGATTATTTCAGGAAGCTGGAGCAAAAATTTAACCCTTTCGAAATCTCGTCCCTTCGAAGTTCTGTTGGCATGTATATTCCTGCTAGCATTCGCAGGTGAGGGAATTCAATGTGTGAGAGATGAGGGCATATAGTGTCTCATTATGTTCATTTCACTGGGAGTGATTGGTATCATACCCCAGCAGTTTGTTGCTACAATGTTGTATTCACCAGTCAGTGAGGAGCTCCAGTTCAACTCTTGCGAATGGGGCAGAAATGAGCGTGCTGCAGTGGGAGTCAGTACAATATTGCAAAAAAGCATGGCAAAGCAGTCAAGCTATTTTTTTGGTTGCACTCTGCTGTCCTTTTGCTGGAAAATGTGTGCAAGAGAGTGACTGCTCATGTCTATGTGTTTGTGCATTGGCACACGTGTATATGTCTGTTGAGATAGAGAGTGAATTGGGTACATAATGCCGAGAATACTGGAGAAACTGTGCAGGTCTGGAAGAGAGAGTTTTGAGTCCGATATGAGCCTTCTTCAGAACTGATAACGGCTGATAAACGGATTTTATACAGTGACAGAGAGGGAGGCAGACAGAGGGAAACAGCTTGTGAGGATACCCCAAACAAAACACCATCTACAAGTCACACATACACATGCACACATACATACACACACACACACTCACACACATACACACAAACATACACACACATACATACACACACATACATACACGCACACATACATACACACACACATACATACACTCACACACACACACGTGCGCGCGCACACACACACACA